ATATCATATTTGTTCATATTATTCGCCTACATTCTGTTAGTCGCATCATTTGGTATGATGGGCTGTCATTCAAAAATGACGTAATAAAATTGATTTTATTTAAATTTTTTAAAATAAAATCAATTTTATAAATATTTGTCATTAATATCCCATTACTTCAAGTGAAACTACCAATAGAATATAGGTGAATATTGAATATTTTTAAACTAGATCAAAGAAAAACAATTAAAACTAATATTCTCACTGAAATAATTAATATTTTTTTTTTCATATTTAATTCAATTCTAACTTTAGATCAAGTTACATAAATAGATATGTAATTAATATTTTAATAGTTTGTGCTACACTTACATAGCTTTGAAATTTATCATAAATTAGTGGTTTTTTATCAGCCAAAATCTAAAAATGAATTTTTAAAATTTGAAAGAAATCTTGAATTCTTCATAAAAATATTTGCTGCTCTTTAATATATTATAAAATATTCTGTGCAAAATATTTTTGTATTCAGAGCTTGCTATAGAAAAATGAGGACGAGGAAACACAAAAGACAATTCAAATACCCTAATAAAATTAGATTTTAAAATAATAAAATAATTTAAAATATAAAAAAATAAATAATAAAACACAATTAATTATTTTTGCTTTTCATTTCGTTTTTTTTTTTTAATATTACTTATAAATTTTTTTTTTCTTTTTAACAAAAAGCTCAGTTCATTCCAAAATTATAAGGCTAATTTTACAAAAACGAATACAATAAAACAATTTATAAAATAATTATATTAAAAATTAAAAAAAAAAAAAAATAATGAAATTATATTATATAACACTACATTTAATATTAAAAAATAATACAATAATTAAAATAATATAAATTAATTTTATATTAAAGTCAAAAACATATAATCGAAAACATATATATATGTATATATAGAGAGTTTAAATAGACAAACACAATTTAAATAGAATTTTTATAATTAATATAAATTCGTTTTACAAAACTCAATTTTTTTCGATATTTATAATTATATAAATAAAAAGAGTAGAAAATTGCACAGTATTTAATAGTTTTTCATTTAAAATTTTAAATTTATAAATAAAGATTGTTATGATAAGTGTTGTCTGTCTGTCTAATAATATCGTAATTTTATTATTATGTAATTAAAAATTTATAAATTTTTTTTTTTAGTTATATAAAAACAAAAAAAATATTAAAACTAGTAAATTCTATTTACTTTAATTTAATATTTTTTTTTTATTTAATTTAAGTTTTGCTATTTCGTGATCGTTTCAGTAATCATTTTTCTTTTAATAATACAACTCATATCTATCATTCTTAAATAATTTAAATAAGTTTCTTCATATTACTATTTGAAATTAATTAACTTTAGGCTTTTAAAAATTTTGTTAATGTCACTTAAATTTTTTACTTGTCACTTAAACGTTTACTGATCATAACGATAGATAGCAAACGATATTATAATTTACTCTATACGATTCTTTACAAATTGGCAATTTGATCATTTAATAATACTTTAATAATATATATGTATATGTATATTTAAAAAGTTTATATTAGACAGACTTATTTACTTAAAGGCCTCCTAGAACACAGTTAAATAAAAATAAGTTTATACATATAAAAAACATAACGTATTATAAAAAAGTATTTATATGAAAATTAGATTTTTAGTGTGTATCTCGATATTTTTATACATTATATAATTTTTTTTTTATTATTTCGAATAATTTAATTTTATTAATTGAAAAATTCGTTCACACATTTTTTTTTCCAATAAACAAATTATCAATTTACAAAATTCAAAACGATCATTTTTTTTTCTTCTTATAATTTTTCAAATTTGAAAGTAATTAAAAAAACACAAAAAAAAAAAGACCTTAATTTGAAAAATTATATTTTTTCTTTTTACCTAAGACTTTCGATATATCGCTCGACTTTATGCGCTACTCGTTCTTTCACATTAATGTGTTCTTAAATTCTAATATTTCTATTTATTTATGAAACTATTATGTATATCACTAAAGTAGATAATATTATTACAGATAGAAAGTATGCATTTTATTTAAATATTATTTTTTAATTTCAAATCATTGTGAAATTACTAAATTAAAGAAACAAAACAAAATAAAAATCAGCGTTTATTAAAGTTGTGCACATTTAAATTTAAATTTTATAATATAATTCAATAAGTAACTTTTTACAATATTTTTGGAAAGGAAAAAAACATTTTTAATACCAAAATTTTCATATAAATTTTTCATATTTCAATTCAATCAGAATAATTTTAAGAATAATTAATGTAATTAGCAAATGAATTAAGATAATTCTTTATTTTAAAACTCGTGAGAAATCTATATATATGATTAATTAAAATTGAAATCTACTACAAAATTCAAATTATTCTTTCTGAATATTAATAAAAATTCAAATTAATTTGCCTTTATTTTTTTATTTTTAAGAGATGCGCGTTTTATCTCTTTAACTCAACGAATATTATTAGGAAGTTTTAAGGTTCTCAGAATCTCAAATTTTTAAAATTGATTTCATTTTGAAAATTACAAATATTTTTAACATTTCATTGCTTTAAGTGATATAAAATATGGGCTATTATATTAAAAATGTTAATATTAAATTATAAAAATAGTAAATTATTTTTTCATACAAGTAAATACAAGATAATAAGTTTAATATTATTTTCTGGATCATTTATATTGAAATAACTGTATTCAAAACGCTTTGCTTTTTATCATTATGTTAAAAGAAATATGAAAAGATATGAAAATAGGCATTAAAAATAAAATTAATATAAAAATATGTTAAAATTAATTTAATATGTTTTCTTAGCTTTAGTTTTTTCTTTTCCTTTTTTTTTTTTTAAAGCTACTTATGTAAATTAAAATTTATTATACACGGTAAATTCTGAAAGAAAAGAATTTGAAAATTTACTAGTTGTGCGAAATACTGAATACAAAACTAATTTTTCTTTATTAAGAAAATATAAACATTTTATATTTTCTAAATGAGATTATTTTAAATTATTTACAATTCTTCAAAAAAAAAAAATAATAAAATTTACTATGTTATATAGTACTTAATTGTAAATATAATACAATAATATGATTTCAAATTAAAAAAAATCAAATATAATTTATATAAAAACGTGAAAAAAATAAATTTATCTAAGAATTGAAATAAAAATCATAGTAATTATATTATGTATGTATATATATTATGTAAAGGACGTGTTTGATATTCACATAATTTATATTTTTATTTTATTTAATTTTTTGAATATTAAATTTTATTACTTTAAATTATATTTCTGCATACATACATTCTAATGTAATATATAATATATATTTAATAGTTAATGTAAGTTATGTTTAAAAGCTTAATTAGAATATTTAATTTTAGAAGTTTTAGGTATTTTTGTTTTTTTTTTATTTTCTTTTCATTTTTTAATTATTTTCATATTTATAACCTACAACTTAAAAACAATTTTTCAGTTATTTTTCCAAAATAATCACATTTCATAATTTATTTTATTTATTTTTTTTTTATTTCATTTTATTAACATGTTTAATATTTTATTAATAAGTAAAAAAATAATTTTAAACAACATTGATGAAAATAAATTTTTCTTAAAAATCATTTTTACACAAAAAAAAAAATTTAATAATGTTTAAATTCGTATTAATATCAAAAAATAATTTAAACAAAAAAGAAAGATATTAAAAAATTGCATATTGTATTTATATATAAACAAACATATTTTTTTTTTTATAAACAATTAATTTAAATAATTTTGATATTTATTTAATGAAAATCACGTATTTAAATTTAAATTTATTTTCATATTTATAATACATATATGAAAGCATGAAAAAAATATTTAATTTTAATTATATGTAAATTAATAAAATATATTTAATATAAAAGAAATGAAGAAACACAAGCGAAAAAAAAAATTAAATATGTTAAAATAATTAAAATCAAGTAAAAAATATTATTTACTTTTTTTTTTTTTATTTAATACAATTAAGCAAATTATTATCAAATTCATTAATATTAAAATTTTAATACTTTTTGGTTTGATATTCGTATATAATTATATTTAATTGTGATGCAAATTGTTTATATATTATTAAAAAAAGCGTCCATAAAGGTATTTTATTTTAAAATTTGAAAATATAATTAAAATTTTTATATTATTACTTTTTCATTTTTGTTAATTTTTTCCAAAAACATGACTATTTATTGTAATAATTTTTTTTGTTTAAAAATGTTCAAGAAGCAAATTTTCTTTTTAACTTTAATTAAAATTGAATTCATTGTATAAATTTTTTTATAACAAATATTTTGTTTTTTTCCTTTTAATAAATTAAGTATGCGAATTTCATTTTATCGGTATCATTATTCATTACATAAAAAAAACTTAAATTTTATTTAATAATTTCTTAATTTTTTTCTTTTTTTAAATTTCAAAGAGATAAATTTCAAATTATTTAGTCATAACTATTATATTTCAAATGACTTCAAAAAAATTGTGGAATTTTTATAAGGACGCAATTTTATTTTTTTTTTATTGGATATTGAATTTAAAATATTTTCTTAAATTATTACAACATGCAATGAATGCATCCTCTTTATAAAATTATTGAAATTTATAGTTTTCTGCTACTCATGAAAAAATAATACAAATTAAAAAAAAAAATAGTAAAATATTTTACATATATAACTAAGTATGTATATAAAAAAACTATATATTTAATAAATTTAAAAAATAAAATAAAATTGAGTACAACAAAAATTTATTTTAATATTATAAATATGTAATAAATTATGTAATATTGAAGAATATAAAGTAATTTTATCAATTTAATAATTACTACTAATATTAAATCAACGTGATCAATTTATTAAAAACTAATTTTTAAATATTAAATTATCATTTTTCTTTTTTCTTTTGATATTTTAATTTAATTGGTAGTTGTTGTACTAGATGATATATATGCGCCTTCTTCATCACTTGACTCGGTCCAACGATTATTTATAGCATCGTTACCTCCTAATCCAACAACACCACAATGATATGATTGCGATCGAAGAAAACTAGAACTTGTTTTTTTTTTTTTTAAATAAAAAAATATGTATTAATAATAATTTAAATATATATATATATATTAATAAGTAAATAGAGGAATTAATATAGAGCGTGTCACAAAAAATGTGATCAGAATGTTACACAAAAAAAAATTTACAATGAATGATTAAAAATCTCGATTATTCGGTAGACTTTCATTACTACAAATGAAATTTAAATAATATTTTATTTTATACCTCTTGTTATTTTATAATTTTAGAAATTTGTAGTAATTTTATATATATATATAGCTTATTTGCTGCAACACTGACTAACTCAATATTGTAAGGAACAATTTTCAAACTAGAGAAATCATGTTTTTCCAAAAAAAGAAAAGATTTAAGGTGATTATTTCTGTATTAATAAATCAGAAAGCCCATTTTTAGATTTATGTCACAGTTGCAGCAAACGAGCGATATTATAAATTAATTTTTCTCTTTAATCTTTAATTAATAAAAATAAAAAAAATAAATTAACTTCATTGATCTTTAAAAAAAAATTTTAGTTTGTGAAACCTTTTTCAGAATTAAAAATCTGTTTTTTAAAGATTATAATTTAAGTTTTAACATTATAGTTTGAAAGATTCTGGTATGATTTATTGAAAATTGTGAATTATCCAAAACAAGAAATTAAAAATATTGGGTACCTTACATCTAAATCTACACAACACAACAAATTGTATACACATATATGTATGTATGCATGTGTTTTTTTATTGAATTAGAAAATTTATTTTCTCTTTTACCAATTTTAGGTAATAAAGTTGTTTTACCATATTAAAGAATGACTCAAGTGACCGATCGATTTTTATTGATATAATATTGAACATATTGGAATTATTTTAAAATGGGGGCCATTTAATAATTTCAAAATAAAAATTCTATTATAATCAACATGATGGTATTGTAAAAATTTATTTCTTTAAAATTATTCGTTTATTAATTGAACTTAAATGAAAAATGATAATGTAAATGAATTAAAATCGCTTTTAATTTTAGCTTACGATAAAGTATTTTTATATGAATATTGGGGCTGATATGCTTAAAATTCTATAATTTAATAATTTTACAAAAAAAAAATATATATATATAGAATAATTAAAATGAATTAGAACCCAATTCTTATGTTTTTCATTTTTCAAATTAACGAACTTGTGCAGTTGCAATTTGCAAACACAAATTTTATTTTCATTATTTTTGACAAAAAAATTTCATAAATAAAAATTTGTGATTTATAAACTGAAAAAAAAATTAAACAAAATACCGAATTATCGAGAAAAATTTTTTCATATATTTTTAAATGAATTTAATGGACGAAAAGCAGAACATAACGAAATTATTAAAAGCTTTGCCACTAAAAAATTTTCTAATCTTTGCGTTCTTAGTTTGACCAGAAAAAAGTTCATATTAAACTTTAAAGTTTCACCCTTTTTAATTATTTTTTGCAATTTGCAAATAAGTTTAATACACAAGAGCTTAAAGAATAAATTTTTCTATTAATTTTTAATTTTGCAAATTCAAATACACTAGAAAAATAAGTTATACATAATGATATTTAAAATATTTTTGAGTTATTGGGTATCTTGTATATAAGAATAAAAAAGAATTTCACTTTAAAATCTTTTAAAGTTTTATTATTAATTTAATTATAATAGTACAATAGGGCTGTAATTATTCAATAGACAGCTAATTTTTTAAATGAATAATAACTTTAAATATTATTTTGTGTAATAAAACTTAAAACTAGCAAACTATTAACATAGCTTAAATTTATTTATAGTGTTTATTTTTAATTTATATTAATAAATATTTCTTGTAAGATTTTTTTTTGTATTAAATTAATAATACTAGAATGCAGTAAGGGGATAGAATTCTAAAAGAATAGAATTAAGGAAATTTAATTAAGAAGCGTTAAAAAAATTTTTAATATAGACAATAATATAGTTAAAAAGCTGCCAATATAGATATCGTTTTGTTATAATTGCATTTTATGACACAGAGTGCATTTTGAACATAAAAATTATATGAATTGTTGTATTTAATGAATAGAGAAAAATATAAGGCGATAACATAAAAATGTGCACAAAATTAAATGCATTTACATTCCATGGTTTCTGTGAACAGTGTGAAAAATATTTAAAATCTAATTGGTTATAAAGCAAACAAATTGTGACCTATAATTTCAATTTTAATTATTATTTTTGGTTAAAAATTATTTTTGAAAATTTCCATTTTATAATTACTTTTTCAATTGGAATTCTTTTCGCTTTTTTTTTTCTCACCGTTCAGATCTGCTTCACTTTTTGTTTTTTGTTTTTTATTTCATATATCAATAAATTAAAAATATAAATTAAATCTTAATTATAATAGAAAGTTTATTATAATTATATTAACGATTCGTTATTACTTTATAAATATTTTCATTATTTGTATTTTTCGTTAATGACTAGAATATAAATCTTTTTATATTAATAAAAAAAAATAAATATTTATAAAAAAAAAAAGTTTTTAAAAAAGGACATTTCTGTTAGAAAAAAGGACTTTCTTTTTTCATTTCAAATTTGAATACGATTCTGTGTTTGAAAGTTCATATTGTACATTTAATTTTAACATAATTTTTTATTAATATTTTATAAATCAGTAATTAGAATCCCCATAGGTCAAAATTCTCCTCTACGAATGGGAGATCTTGATGGCCTTCATAATAAAAAAACAAATTGTTTAGAAAATAAAATAAAAAAAAAATTTAAAATTAAATAATTTTTATAAAATAAAAAATGATTTTTTTTGTATTTTTAGCAATTTCAAATGTTTACATTTAAATAATTACCTTTCAGTTAATTTTGCTGGTTGAGATTGCCTTTTAGCTTCTTCTTTTTTGCGTTTATCTTCTGCAGCTGCTCTCATCGGATCGTATTTTGCACGCCTACGCCACATTTCAAGCTCCATTTCCTTTTGCTTAGATACTAAAAATATATTTTTGTATTTTAATATTAATTCAATTAATATTCATTTAATTAATAAACCAAAATTACCTGAACTATCTCTGGCATTTTTATTTGAAGCACTAGATGGCCTATTACTAACACTACTAGCCGATTTAACACTTCTATTGCTAGCTCTTGTAGTATCTGTACGGCTTAATGTTATTGTTGTGTTTGTTGGACTCTTTTTAATATCTGACTGTTGTTTCTGCAGTGTACTCTTTGATTCATCTTTTTTAAGAAATGTTGCACCTTGTGCGGGTTTATACTTTGATATATCTAAATATCTAGATTGGGCTGAAGGAATTGTGGTACTTTTAGCTGCCGTTTGTAGAATTTGCTTTTTTGCTGATGCTAAAGAATTTGGTACTTCACCTTTCAAACGATTTAAGCTAGAATCACGTGGAACAGATTGGCGCATTGATGCACGTTGTTGCTGTTGAATGCTATTAGCACTTTGAACAGAACGTCTTGGTAATTCAGGAGTATTGGGGCATGCCATTACCCCGCCTGGTGCTGGTTTTGTACCATTATTACCTGCTACTCTTTGTTTACTGCGTTCTATACGCATCAATAATGCTTTGTTATACCTTGTATTTGTTAAAGGAGGTTCAGTAATTTCAGTAGCTGATCCCATTGTTGGCGCGTTAGTTGAATTTTCGTCATATGGCTCATCAAATTCTTCAGATGAACAATAATCCAAATCATCTTCATCATTAATGTAATATGCAACAGTGTCGTCATAATCACTATACATCTTGCGAAAACTAGTACTACTTGCAGACTTCTGCAAGGGAATTTTATTATTTTGTTTTTGCTGTTGCGTAATAGCTGAAACATATTTTTGTGCTGTAATAGGTGTAACAGTTTTATATAACGAAGTATAGCGATGGTTTCCAATATTATTATTACTACTTGATAAAGGTTTTGCAGAGAACGATGAGGACCTTCTTAATGGTGAAGAATTTTGTTGTTGAACATCTTGTTGCTGTGATATTTGACGTTTATTTGTTTGAATTTGATTTTGTTTAATCGAATATGTTTGATCAATAATTCTTTGGTTACGTATTCCTTGTTGTTGAATTAAAGTTCCTGAATTTACTTGGCGAATTGGTGATGACGACCCAGTTAGTTGATTAGAAAAAAGTTGTTGATGGCTTCTTAAAGAAGAATCGAATGAATTTTTACGTGGCCTTGGTAAACGGAAATCATTTGGATATTCTGAGAAATTATTCATTTCATTTGAATAACTTTGTGACATATAGTTTGTAACCGTGTTTGATTTATTGCTTGGATTTTGAAAGGGTTGCGCTCTGTAATCGAAAGACAAATTACGTCTATGTAATCCATTACTACTGTCCCCTCGAAATATATTATTTTGACTGTAATTCCCCAAATGATGACCAGGTGGGCTATACTCATCAGCTGAATAATGGTGAGTACCACTCAAACGTTTTGGAGATTGATTAGATGAATTTAAACTTTTTAGTGAATTCTTTCGACTAGGATTTGACAAAGCTGAACTTGTTTTTTGAACATAAGTATCTGATTCCTGAGCATGTTGAAACTGCTGTTGTGTAACGCCGGAGGGCGATAAATCTTGTAGACTAGAACGAGTTTTGCTAATGCTGCGAGTTCGACCAATGGAATGCAAAGGTGACGGAATTTTTGATGGACTTAAAGGTGGCCGTGAGAAATTTGTTTTTAAATTCGAATCTAAATTCGGCGAGCCAGCAGACCGTCTGCTAACATTTGGATCTGAAGAGGAATATTCCATCCCATAATCACCGATAGCATGTGATTTAAATCGTTCAATCGGTTTGTTGCAATATATCACTGTCGAACCTGTAGGTAAGAAAATTTTGCTTTAGAAATTCAAATACGCATTGAAAATACAAATTTTTATATTTTACATGAAAGGTAGAAAAATATTTAAAGTTTTAAAATTTTGTGATTGAAGTGCCATACTTAGAAAGAAACCGCTTAATTAAAAACTAAAGACATTAAAACTAAATTACCTTGACCATGATCACTAAAAACGGAATTATTTTCTTCTATATATTCACAATTATAGCTGCGAGTCATCAAAGGGTTTCCCGCTACGCTTGAACTGCCAAGTTTGCCGCGATGATGGATATGATCCGTAGGCTTAATTGAAGAAGTAACGCTGCGGGCTCTAGCATTGCGAGCCCATTCTTGAATCCAATCATTTTTAGATTGCGCGGTTTTAAGAACAGCAGTATCAGATATTTTCAAATCGACGCTTCTGGGACTATCAGGAGTACCTGCTAATTCATAGTCACTTAACATAAGCTGAGAATCGGTTTGATTTGTAAAAACGTTCAAGCGATATTCTGCTTTTTGATGATCAGTAAACGAATGACTCATTTGAGAGTTTTTATTATTCATATCTTTATTTGAATTTAAAATTCCATTACTACCGCCCACATTGCAGGAATTTGATGATGTACTTACATATTCGGAACTGTCTATTTGAGATGTAGTCAAACTACTTTTACGAGTCAATTTTGGTTTTGCGTCAAGACTAGATTTTTTAGCTAAAACTCCACTTGTTGTTATACTTGTAAACGTACCCACATCGCCACTTGGAGAACTTGCTGGAGCACTTATTTTATTGTTCTCTAACAATTTCTCAGGTGATTTTTTCCCTTTCATGCGAGACTTAAACTTATCTAAATATGATATTTTAGGTTTATCGACGGCAGATTCGTGAAGGTAGCTCACTTCCAATATATTCTTTCTTTGAAGATGATTGCCTTGGAGTGAAACTTTATTGCTATATGGGGACATATTATTACTTATAGGCAGATCGGTGGGGCGATTTATATTATTAAGTGCCTTTATATCATATGCTACAACGCTATGTTGCTGATGCATTTGATTTAATTTTGATTTATCTATATTCATCAATTCTTTTTGTTCTTCGGTGTAATTGTCACCATCCAATGTATATGTACCCGCTTCACTAACATCATCACTGCCACAAGTATGAAATTCTTTAGCTGCCAAATTGTCTAAAGGAGGTTGTTGACACAAAAAATCAATTTTTCCCAGTGTCATTTGCATAGCAGAAGTTCTGGAAGCAAACGATTTCGACTTTGCAAAATCAATTTGATTATAATTTGACGCTGAGGCGTTCGAAATATTTTTATTAGAGCTTTTTAAAGACGCACTTATCTGCTTATTACTCGCTTCTGATGAATGAACTGTATTCGTCTTTGTCGCTAATTTACTTGGTCTGGGGATTGGTTTACTGTTCATTATAAGCGAACCATCCTGTTCGATTGCACTTGAACGAGGAGACCAACTATGTCTTTTAGTTGGATCCCTTACTCCGCTGGCACTTCTATCACGAATTCTCATTTTTACTTTGTTAGCTTCAGAAGTACTTTCTTGCTCTGACAATTTTCCTTGTTTATTAATGGTATTCCCGGAAACTAAAGACTGATTTAAACTACCCCGTTTACTAACAGCACTACTGCTGCTGTTTGAAGTAGAATTTGAACAAACCGGTACCTGTTTTTTTACTTCCTTTTCTGTTGAAATAGATTTTTTGACTTCTAATTTCGACATTGATGCTCCACGCTTATGACGATTTTGAAAACGCTCTAACATAGATTTATATTTTGCTTCTGCAATTGGATTATTACTGCTTGTACTACCACCAAAATCGATTGTAAAAGCAAAACTATTTTGCAAAGATGCTTCTTGTTTTGTAGGAGAATCTTCTTCATTTGAAGATATTGTTGTATTATTTATATTACTTTTGTCATCTGGTATGTCATCTATTTCAACTATTTTTAATTCTTCCTCAACACCTGTTTTCAAATCTTCCAAATTTTCATTATTTTTATTTTTGAATAATTTATTTTCACCATGCTGATTTTTTACACCCGATATTTTTATTGATGACCTGATTTCATTAGCATAATTAACATTCTTATTATGACTTGTATCGGTATTATTGCTACTATTGTCTTCGTTTTTTTTATTTTCTATAGTGGTTTTTGGTTTTTCTCCAAATATGTTTGTGCTACCATCACCACCAATACAATATGTGGTCGGTGTTAAAATGACATCATCGATTTTTTTCAAGTTTTCAGGTGTTGCATCGGTTTTTTCTTTTCCATCATTGTTTTCTAAAGAATCATCACTGTCTTCTTTTGTAGAATGTATGTTAGAGTTTTTATATATATCTTTAGTATTTAGGAATGTTTGCAAGTTGCCAGTTGCCGAATTAGCTGAGATTGATGATATATTATCTATAGTTTTTTGCGTACTACTTGAAGTAGTTGGCAATGAAAGTTTACTCAATTCCTCTGAACCCCAACCGTCCATTGCAAATATTTTTCAAAATCAAACTTTTTCCAACTAATGTACATATAATTTAACAGATGTACATTGCTTTTAATCTATTTTTTTTTTGCACATTTCTAAAAATTTGAATTGAATAAAAATTTATTTACTAAATATTTGACATTATAAATGATGTCATTAATTACGTACGTATACGATTATTTCAATTCAATTCCTTCAAGAATTTTTTTCTTTTCAATACTAAATATTTTCTGTTAGAATTTATATTCAATTTATCTATATTAGGAAGATTCTAATTAACTTGTTTGTTATTCATACATTAGTTTTTTGCCAAAACAAAAATGGCTGTGCTCTATTCTACTCTACTCATTTATCACAATTTCGTTGTATCTCCACCACTCATTAAGTAATTTTAATCAAATTTTTTTTCTTTTGAATAAAAAATAAAAAACTATATTTTAATTTTCTAGTTTCGTTGGTTTTAATTGGAATACTTTTTCTTAAATATTGCAGTGTTTTTTTCCAAATTACTAATGGCGAAGGAGAAAACCTTGCTATTTTCTAATGTCATTTGTATATGTATGCTGCCAATAAAAACAAAAACAATGGAAAATGAAACCTGACGATTGTGAATGCGTATACGGAAAAACAAACCAATAACGGAAATCCATTATCATTTGCGTTTACTGACTGAGATAAAAATTCTTATATCTTGCTTAATTATTTTAAAAAATTATAATTGTTAATATTTTTCTAAATAATTTTAAAAAGCAAATTGTTGCGATCTAATATTTTTTTAATACTTTTATAAAAATTTTTTCACTTAAATATGTTACTGTCATTTTGTTGTAGAAAGAAAAGTTGAATAAAATTTTGTAAATGATAAAAAGCAAAATATCAAGAATAAAAATTTTTAGTTATGTATATTTAAAAAAATGTGTCAAAAAGATTTTATAAATCTCCACCAAAAAAATGCCAAATTGCAAAACAGATAAATCTACTATTTACTGTTCTCCAGATTCGAGTATTTTTAAGTTTTTCGTTTATATGAAAGCTTGAATATTTGACTAGAAATCATCTCGAAACTCAAGCTATGTTTTTACTATGTCAGCTATGTCAGTCCGAAAATTATGTTTAACTTTTACAAGTCAAGTCAAGTAAGAAAACTTTTTGATTGACATGAGTAAAGCTAGCTTCAAGTCAAATAACGTTTATAGGAACATAAAATAGGTTTCAACTACGCTTGAAGCGGCCGTGTTTTGCAAAAGGTTTCTGCAGAAATTTATATAAATTTTAAAAATAACAAATTTATGTAACATTGCAATACATAAACAAACAAGATTGGTATTAGCTAGTGTTCCATTTTAATATTTTCTAGTAACAACTGGAACATTGGAAACTTCGTTGGAACTGTCAAATTAGTCATCATTTTTTACATTTTAGTGACAATCGCAGAACTAATATTTTGATATTTGATTGATCTTAACTTTCATATAGTTGATTTCTGGAATAGTGTTAAGTGGTAAATAAATAAATTAAATTTTGCAATTAAATATTTAACTTTTTAATTTAAATTTTATAGATATATATTAGCTTTATCCTTTTTTATCAGTTTGCAAATAGCATTTGATATAAGAAAAAAAAAGTAAGCATACACGCACGTACTATACATACATATGTTGAATTTGTCTAGCCCAACCCAGACAAAATACGTAGGTTTAAATTTTTAATCTACTGTTTCAATCTTTTAATTTTTTATTCATAAATAATATCGGACAAAAATAATAAGTATGGGCGACAATAATGAACAAAAAGCAATGCAATTGATGGCTGAAGCCGAGAAGAAATTGCAATACAAAGGTTTTTTTTCCAGTCTTTTTGGTGGGGGGAGTACAAGATATGAAGACGCTATTGAATGTTACCAAAGAGCTGGAAATATGTTTAAAATGTCCAAAAACTGGAGTAAGGCTGGACGTGCATTCTGCGAAGCCGCAAATTTGCATTTTCGTCTTGAAAGTAGACATAACGCAGCAACAATGTACATTGATGCTGCAAATTGTTTTAAAAAATCTGATTTAGAAGAAGCAGTATCATGCTTACTAAAGGCTATTGAAATTTACATTGACATGGGAAGATTTACAATGGCAGCAAAACATCATCAAAATATTGCTGAAATCTACGAATCGAGTCCAAATTTAATAGATAAAGCAATTCATCATTACGAACAAGCAGCTGATTATTTTAAGGGAGAAGAATCAACATCGTCAGCTAACAAATGTATGTTAAAAGTAGCACAGTATGCAGCACAATTGGAAGATTATGAAAAAGCTATCAATATTTATGAACAAGTTGCAAGTTCATCTCTAGAAAGCTCATTATTGAAGTACAGCGCGAAAGAGTATTTTTTCAGAGCAGCTTTATGTCATTTAGCTGTCGATTTATTGAACGCTCAACATGCAATTGAAAAATACGCACAACAATATCCGGCTTTTCAAGATTCCAGAGAATACAAATTGGTTAAAAATTTATGTGAACATTTAGAAGATCAAAATATTGATGGTTTTACCGAAACTATTAAAGCATATGATAGCATTTCCAGATTAGATCAATGGTACACAACAATTTTATTAAGAATTAAAAAAGCAAACAACGATGATCCCGACTTACGATAAAATGATAAATGATAAGGCAAATTTAAAAAAAAAAAAAATAATAAAATAAGAATAAATCGTTATTTGAAAATTTTATATGTAATACTTTAAATTTTATTTATAAATACCTATCGATAAAAATGGTATATTGTGATTTTATTTTTTTTGTTTAAATTTCATTGGATAAAACGATGTAATACCAAGTATTTACGACTTTTACTCAATAAATAATAAATGTAAATGAAAAAAATATTGTTGCTAATTTTTTCTTATTTTATGTTAGAGCAAATAATTAAGCATTTAAACATTTGACTATTTGCATATATCCGCCCTTCCCTTATTGTGCACAAAGTAAAAAAAAATCCGATAAAGCGGAGAGAAAGAAAATTTTTTCAAAGATATTGAAAATTTATATTTGTTTTCAAAATCAAAAAATAAAATATCAAAAATGAATTCAAAATTTATATGTATCTATATATTATAATATACATACATAATATGTATTTCATATACATATACATATATATATACTATATTTAAGCTGTAATGAATTAAAAAATTTTAAAGTTAGAAAAACTAAAATGAAAAAGACTCTAAATTATACCAAGTAAAAATATTTTATATAAATATTTTTATTTCAATTGTTTAAAAAAATTTTAAGCACGCTTGTTATTTAACTTGTTTCCTCTTACTTTCCTTATCAACTTTCACTTATTTATGCTCTTGAAAGCACAGTCGTTTTGCAACTAAAGTGTTAAAGATATAAAGTAAGGGAATTTTCGATAATTCAGATATTAAATAAAAGTTCTAAATTATCTTAAAAGTCTTTTCAAACAGGGGGATTATCAAAAATTTTCTAATATTTATTTCGCTTTCGAAATCCACATAGATGTGTTGTTCTAAATTAAATATTAGGGCAAACACATAATTTACAATTTTATTTAAATAAAACAAACATTAGTTAAACTGTAAAAAATCAGGATAAATTTTATTCAAATGAGTTCTATATTTATTTCCAATATAAAATTTAATCAATTTATTTCTTTTCTTTTTTTTTTTATTATATGCATACAATTTGGAAAACAATATTCTTTGACTTTTATTTAAATTACAAAACGTTAATAATTTCTTTTTTTTTTAATATTTGATTTTTAAAAAATCTACAGGCATTTTATTTTTTTTTTATTCAATCTTTTGTATATATATGTATGTACATATGCATATAATTCGTTTTCATTATAAGAATAATTTTAAAGAAATATAACACTGGTTCGAATCAAAAAAAAAAAAAAAATAAGTGAGGGAATCAGTTAATTTAATGCAATATATTTTGATTCCATGAAAAAAAAATTTCTACAATTTTTCCAAATTTTCAAGGTACTTATTAAAAATTTAATCGTTTCGATTTTTTTATTTAGTTTTATTTAAACTTAATAATTTTTAATCGAATACATAATGAAAAGTTTTCAGGTACAATCACATTTCATAATATAAAATAAAAAATAATTTAATTAATTTACAATTTATCTTTTACGAATTTTAATTCATTTTGAATGTATTACGTGATACCTTACTCATATCATATTTGTTAGATGTCTTTCCCTTTGTTGGATGAACTTCCCTTGTGGAATTGTATAGTACAATAATTAAATTGAAAAAAATATAATAATCAACTTCTTATAAAGACAAATTTTCCATTTTTATGCTTTCAATGGTCATTTATATACAAAATATTTTTCAGGGTTGCTAAAAATTTCAGGAAATTTTTGGGTACCTATACTTTTTTAATGTTGTAAAATATTTTCAAACTAAAATTTGTACTTTAGCAAGCCTACAGATAAACAAATATATAAAATTTTCGTTAAAAAGAACCCATAACATGACCATTTGTATCTGGTACCATGTAATACATTATTTAAGAATTTCATTTATTTAATTTATTAAATTGTCTAGTTAAAATATTTTAAATACAAAATATGTAAAGTGCCAAAAATTTTAAAAATTACTAAGGCGAATTTTTTTTGAAAACTTAATTATGTATATTTTTTCTTTTATAACAACTGATTAAAAAAAAAAATTGATTCATGAATTTTAATGAAAATGTTTTTCTCTCTTATGTATGAATGTACCTTTTAAAATACAATTTGTTAAAATGATTTTCTATTAATATAGTTAGAATTTAATTTCTTTATTTAAAATTATAAAAATTTTATAAAAACTTTTATCTTATTTAAATTTATAAATTGAGCAAATTTAATCGTAATTTACAATAAATTAAAATATAAACCAAAAAAAAATAAATCAAAATGTTTATTTTAATAAAAAAAAAAATAGGAAAACCTTATTGGTTTACTAAAATATTTAAAAAAAAAAAAGGGAAAGGACGGAATTGTAAAACTATTTTGTTGATTTTTGCTTGATTAATTGCTTATAATTTTAAGGCCCCTATTGAGATTTCAAAATTTTACGAGAGAAACAAAATAAAATTTAATTTTTAATATTTTACCACTTTTTTTTTCACTAAATATTTAAAAGTAATTTTCAAAAATTTTAAAATTGCTAAACAAACACTTTACTTATTAGTGGACATTAAAAATCTAACAAATTTGGAATGTTCATTTGTTTAAGACTTAATTTTATCGAAATTAAGCCCAAAAAAAAACTGCTTTTAAAAAAAATTTTTAAGTATTTCTAAAGTTATGTTAATTGTTAATTTTATTTTATATAAATAATTACATATTTACGTAGATAATATTTTTAAATTTAAAGTCCTAAATAAAGTTCAATGAAAAAACTTAAAAAAAAAAATTACGATTTGTTTTCATTAGTTTCAAACAAATTTATATAGTTTCTCTATCTATTCTTAGGTGGGTTTAATAATTATGACTAGTTAAAATCAAATAATGATATACTTTTCTTTATTTCTTGTGTAAGAATAACAAAATAAATTATGGCACAATTTTAACAAAATTGAAAATATTTTAAATTTTTAAAAAATAGAATAAGTAAAATTAGTTCCCTTTGCAGTTAAAGCAAAAGCCAATATTAAAATTGTTATAGAAAAATTTAAAATATTTTTGAATAAAATACAAAAATACATAACATCATAATTATGTATATTTGTAATAATCACAAATTAGTGTTTGAAACTTATTCCCTGTGTTTACATAATGATACTGCATGGTGTACTACTTTGTTTTCTTTCCCAATACTTCGTATGTCCTTTAAGTTGCATGAAACCTTGTAGGTAAAACGAAGGGGTCAAGAAAAAAATAAAGAAATAGTATCATACAATGACATCATAGTGAAAATATGCCCATTGCCGAACTTGAACTGATCTTTTTTCTGTCTGTTTTATATTTGTTCTCGTTGTCATTCTGTAGTATTATTTACTATATGCTTAACCATATCAAACAAAATAAATTTCAATTCAGTCATCCTTTCCTTTTTTAACAATATAAGGCAACAATATACACATGAGTGTCATTGTTTTACAAAAATAAATATGAAAAATTGAAAATATTAATGAAAAAAAAAAATATGAATAATATTATAGCTCTGGGAATATTTTGTTACTGGGTATAAATTTAATCAAAATATTTTTTTAAAATAATTTGAATATTTAAATCTATAAAGTTTTGTTTCATATAAGTAAAATTACTTGTATTGTCAGCAATTGATGATATTTTTTAAGTTGATAATTGAATACTTCCAGTTTTATTATATGCAACAAGCAAGTAACTGCATAAATAGTCCAATTAAGAATATCGTACATATAAACTTATTAAAGCTTAATACAAGCAGAGACTTAAAAAAATACACGTATCATATGTATGAAATCAAACCTTTTTTTAAAAATTTCATTTTTATTACCTTAAAGATTTGAATGTATTAATTACTTTAAGTCGTCGTACTACTTAATATTTGATAAATTCTAGTTTTTTTTTTAAATTGCAAAATAAAATATTATATGTAGGTTATTCTAACTGAAAATTTATACTGTTTACATTATTTATATAGCTATGAACTATATATATATATATATAGTTAAAGTTCTCATAATAACTTATAAATTAAATTATTGTATAACTATAATATTAGTTGTATAACTTTATCATAAAGTTTAAAAACATAATTTCATTCGTAAAAGTTACTTACTTGTGAAATTTTAAAATAAATAAAACGAAGTAATTTTTAAAGAAGAAGGATAATTAATTTATAATTGGAAACAAAAAAGAAATTTTAGCGAAAAATACTTAAACACAAAATGTTTTTATTAATATAATTAGTCATAATTTTAAGGCATTTTTTGACTACTATAAAAATTAAATTAAATACGAAAAAGAAATGGCTCAAAAATACATTAAAAATAAAATAATTAATAATTAATTAAAATATTGAAACATATTTAAAAGTAAAGATAAAATGATGATGATTAAGACGACTTTAATTAATCAAACTTTGTGTTTAATGATGATTCGGTTGTTGTAAATGTTGTTGTAATTGAATTTGTTGTTTGATTTGATGATTCTGTTTCTGTTGATATTGCTGTTGTGATAAACGTCTTTGCATTAAAACGCTTTCACTTGGTGGTGACAAACCAAAAACATTGTTTTTATTTTCATAGTTGTAATTATTGAAGTTTGATCGTTGATGCTGTTGACCAAATAAATTTATTTTATCCACATTATAATGTGCATTGTAGTTATAGTTATTAAAATTATAATATGTTGATCGATTTCCAGAATCATTATAGTTATTTGCATGATTAATAGATGGTGGTGATGTTTTCATATTATGTGATGCAAAACCATTCGCAAAATTTCTTTTCGGCGAGTATGCAGAAGAATCATTACGCCAATTGGTAATTTTATTATTACCAATATTCGAATTTTGTTGAATGTTGTTATTATTTTTAATAACATTGTTATTATTACTATTGTTGTTGTTATTAATGCCATAATAACTCATTATATTATATCCCTTCTTAAAATTATTATAATTTTTAATGTTTATGTTATTTGTATTATTGTTATTGTTGTTATTATTATTATTATTACTGTTACTGTTGTTATTATTATTATTATTATTATTCAAAACTGTACCATTGAAATTGTTTACAGTTGCTTTATTTTGAAAATTATTTCCAAAAGAATTATTATAATTAGAATAATATTTTGATATTTGATCACGATATGATTGCTGATTTAAGTAGTTATATGCGGTATTATTTGCACTTAGTCCATTTATATTACCATTAATAACATTCGTATTAACAATATTATTTGCACGATAGTTTCGGAAGCCCAATGAAGTATGATTGTCAGTATAATTCTTTAAGGTAAAACCATTATTGTTATTATTATTGCGAATGCGCCAGTTTTCTTGAGGAATATTATTTGCTGAAATTTTAAATAAAATAAAATTTAAAAAACTTGTTGGTTTTATATTAAAATTTAAAAACTTACCATTTCCATAAAATTTGTTGTGAGATTTTCCATTAAAATTTTTATCAAATTTATTGTTGGAAGGTGGTGTCGAAGGTTTATAAAAACCTGGGATGTGAGTTGTATTTGTATATGATTTCTGTTCAGCATTTTTGTTTTTAAAATTTTTCCAATTTTTATCGTTTGTAAATGCATTCGAAAATGCAGACGATTTTTGCTGATACGGTTGGTAGGATTTTTGATTTTTTCTATTGAAATGTTCGTCTTGCAAATTTAATGTTGTAAATTTATCATTAAAACTTGAAACAGAATTTGCGAATGGTTTTGCTGTTGTAATGAAAACATCATTACTGCATACATTGTTAAAAGTATTTGTCTTATTATCGACTATTGAAGGAGTGTTATTTGACGTATTTATAAAATTTTCAAGATTTTCCTTATTTATTGAATTATGTTGATACAGTTTCTTGAAATTATCATAACTTTTCTTTAATACGGATTCATTTGTAGGGGTCGAATTATTTGAATAATTATCACAATCATCATCACCATAGCTCTCATTGGCATTATATTTTTCATTACCATCATCATCATCGAAATTTAAGAAATTATTTAAGTAATCATCATCATCATCTTCGTAATCGTTAATAAAGTCGTCTTCATCATCAACATCTTCATCATCACCATTATAAAAAATGCTTGTCGTTTCTATTGACTTATTTATTGAGTTATTTGAGTTTTGGATTGATACCATACCACTTTTATCACAATTAGTTTCATAAATAGATTTGTTTTTATAATTTTTATCTACAGTTGTAGTAATAGAAGGTGCAAAAGAAGAATTTGGCGTTGGGGTTGTTGACAAATCATCCATCATAGGCGGCTGCGATTCTTTTTGTAGGAAAATTGGTTGTGTTGAACTGGTTTTTAAGGTAGAATTTAATAATACGGAAGAATTTTGGCTTTTATTAGATAAAGATAAAGAAAATTGTTTGTCAATTAAAATCGAATCGTTTTCCTGTAATGAACTATCATTATTATCATTCGCGTTATCAATATAATTATCACTTTCCTTATTATTATCAATAATAATGTTAGAAGTAGCATTATGTGTAGAATTTATTGATATTGATTTGTTTGCTGTATTAATTGATGTTGTAATAGATGTAGATGTTATTTTGTCAATGATTTCTCTGCTTTGATTAATAGCATCGTTATTATCAAATTTATTTATACTTAATCTTTTTTGTTTCTGTTTATGTTCACGAATCAAATCAATCTGGTGCATTGATTTAATTTTGAAAAATTTATCGTCATTTGAATCGTGATTAATAACTATATCAGAAATATGATCATTGTCATGTGAACTTAATAACTTAGCATTATTAAAATCTGTATTAGTACGTGACGGTTGATATATGTTTGGACGTTCCTTTTGCATGTAATCATATCGCATAGAGAAATGTTGTAAAATAACACGTTTCACAGCCATTGCAGATTCAGCAAATTGAGATAATTCACGTGCTGATTGATTTCTAGAAGAAAAATAAATTTTTATGATTAAAAAATTTTGGTTTATTTTAAGATCTCGTTTTATACCTTCGTATAATAAGAGAAGTTTTCAATGCTTTTCTACGATTTTCCATTTTTATGCTGTCATCTGATTCAAATTCAGCCATTTTAATCCATGGATGATTCAAAACAGCTTCAGCACTAAGTCTTTTTGGCGCTTCTTTAACTAATAAACCTCGAATTAGATCCTTAGCCTCTTCACTTACATCTGACCATTCATTGTCAGGGAATGAAAATCGTCCCTCTTGTATTGATTCAAATAATAATTCTTGACATTTACGACAATTTTCACCTCGACTCCAACCACAGTCTTGTTTACAGTTTCCAGAAAATGGAGGGTAACCACAGAGTAATATATAAGCAATCACACCTAATGACCAGAGATCACAACGTTTATCATAATAATTAGCTTCTCCAACAAATAAATCAACAACTTCTGGTGCCATAAACTAAATAAAAAAAAAAACATTAAATATAAAATCATGCACATTTATCTTGTTCCATGTAAATGTTTGATTTATAATACCTCAGCACTTCCTACGGGTGTTAAAAGTTGTGGCGTTGCTGCTGGTGAAGATAATTCTGTAGTAAAATTAATACCAGAACCTAAATCAAAATCACAAATTTTTATTGGACATAATTTTTGTGGATCAACACATAAAATATTTTCCGGTTTCAAATCACGATGTGCTATTCCTTTTTTATGTAAGAATCCAAGAGCAGATGCTATTTCTTTAATTATTTGAGCAGCTTCCTGTTCTGAAAAACAAACTTGTTCTTGGATTCTTGTTAACAGTTGACCACCATTTATCTATAAAACAGAAAAAAATTTTCAAATAACAATAACAATAATTTTTTAGCTAATTTACTTTTTCAAAAACTAAATAAAAACGTTCGTCATCTTCAAAGAATTCAATTAGTTGCAGTATACCAGGATGACCCTGGCAATGATGAAATGTTTCAACTTCACGGAAAACACGAGCGCGAGCATGACCAGGAATTTTATCAATTATTTTAACAGCATATTCTAATTCCGTGTATATATTGACACATGTTTGTACTGAAGCATAGGCACCTTCGCCAAGAACTTCTCCAGTCAATTTATATAATTCTAAATTAAAAAAACGTAATTTAAAAATTATTTTGATAGAAAATTTTATAAGACCAAAAAATGAAAATTTTTTAATTGAAATTAAATATAAATTAATTTAGCTTATATTTTACAATATAAGAATTTATTATCATTAGAATAAAATTTAAGACAAAGATTTATCGATATAAAGAAGGCATACCTTGAAATGTTGAAGAATGTAAAGATGAACTGGTCCGTTTCTTCTTTTTGCGTTTCCTTTTCATTTCTTCTTTATGCCTATTAAAATCTGCAACACGATCATTTTCAGCTATTGTTGAATTCGAACTACTAGTCTCACTACTTTCAGTATTTATATTTTGGTTAATTAGGTGATTATTTGTTTCTAAAAATAAAGAAAAAAATTAAAAATATTATTATCTACATTTAAACATATGTATGTATATTATAATTGTTAATATTAAATCAAAAATTAAGATGAAAAATAATTATTATAAATATTTAATTGGAAAAATCTATTGCAAAATTTTACTTAGTTAATTTTCAATAAAAGACATGACAAATTTCCAAATAAATAATATAAAGGAAAAATATATATACATATATATATATATATTATTTGTAAATATTAAATTGTATGCCCACATTCATTATATTTCCCATTTCCGTAAAAATTTTACTAATTTTATATTCGTATCATGTTTTTTTTTTGCTTTTAAGTATATAAAATATTAAATTTATATTTATTTGTGTACACAACAAAATTATATTTTTATATGTATACATTTATATAAAAATATTAACGTACCTACATTGTATATTATATTATTATTGTTTAATATAAATTTTTGTTATCACATACTATTTTAAGAATGACCCTGATTCATACAAAATAAACTGCTACTAACTTTAAAATATATATGTGAGTTTTTTCCATTATGTGCTTAAAAGCAACTGCGACAAACGTAATATTTAAACAATGAAAAGCCTAAAATTAATCATAAAATATTCTGTTAAGTTTTAGTGAACATAATATTTTTTTTTTTTAATTTTAAGTATTTTTTTCAATATTCTCCAATTACAATCTTAAAAATGAGTAACAAAAAAAGGAAATTTAATAAAATTAATTTCATTTTATTTTAAAATCTCCAACTTTAAATTCTACTAAATCAATCAGAGATTACTAAAGAAATACTTAATTTAAGCAAATTAATTTCAACGCTTTTCTCAGCTTACTTTAAAGCTATAGATTTTCATAACCGCGCAATACCGCAAAACAATAACTGCGAAACGTAATACTGCAAAAATATAACCAGATGAATGTGCAAAATATTTTAACTATTCTATAAAATCAAAAAAGTTCATAAGATTTAACTGCACTACTCCTACCAATTTCGTTATATTGCGAAAAATTAGCCATGTTTTTGTCTAATAGGCCCAGAATTTATTGAATTATTAAATTATTTACTAGTCACAAATAATATACTTAAATCACAATTTTATTATAAAATGTATTTTCTACTTTGAGCATTAATAGATGTCGGTAGAATCGTTTATAATTTTTTTAACATATTGTTTTTTTTTTTTTTTGAACAATATTTACTACCTACATGACACAAATCACGTTATATGACAGAATTACATAGAAAAACAAACATAGAACGAGCATGAACATTTTATGTATAACAAGAAATTTTCAATATAAAAAAATAAATGTAAATGTTAAATTATTTCGGTTATTTAAAAATTTTGATAAAAAAATAAATTATTAGATTAGACATATTATAAAAAAAATTATTGAAATTTTTTCTTTTAAAATGAAAAATAAAAAATCAAAATTGCATTTTTTTTTTTAAATTAAAAATTTATTAAATTCATATTGTGTTTAAAAAATTGTTTTTAAGGTTAAGATTTAAAATTAAATCAGTAATTTGATCTTTATCATTTGGATCTAATATAATTTTAAAAATGTTTTAAGAAAATTCAACAAAACAAAAAAAAAAAAAACAAAAACCTTTTGTTTGTTCTTTAATTATCAAATTAAAACAATTATTGAATTAAATGAAAATTAAAACATAAAAATATACCACGTGTGAGACCAAATATCACTAAATTTATTTAATTTACACTAGACAACAAGACTCTTAATAATACTTAAATTTATACAAAATTTTTACGATAGATTGGAAAATATAGAACATAACCTCAATAAAATGAATAAATACTATTGTAGATTATTAACGAGCACGTTTTTTATAAATTCAATATAATTATTTTTTATATAAAATTAAATAATACATACGTATGTACATAATATGTAGGTATATTATGTATTATGTATGTACATAAAATAAAATTTAGATTGTTTCCTTTTTGTTAATAAAAAATAAAAAAAAAAAAACTTAAATTTCAAGGTTTTGAAAATTATTTTAAATTTTTTTTCTGTTAATTACTTTCAATTGAATTTTAATTTTTCATTTAAATAAAATTTCTCTCTATGTAGCTGAATGTATGTATGTATGTATGTATGTACCTATATTGAAGTAAAAAATAAAATATTAGGAAATAAAATTCTAATATTATCAAAAAATTAGAACAATGTGAGTAATTTTCGATTTCTATATTTCTTACTATTTAAAGTATTTTATGTTAAAAATTTTCACACTTAATTTTATTAAAAAATTTTTACACTTAATTCTGTTAAAAAAATTTTGTATAAATGTTACCAACCCATAGAATAATTTTGTTTTAATTTTAATTCAACTGTCACGAATACCCCTTAATCTCTTTAAATATAGAGTAAGTTTTAAAGATTTCTGTTAAAAATTATATTCATCAAAATTAGGCATAATTAATTAATATATTAGTAAGTATTTAACAAGAAATTATTCTTAAAAATCTCACTAAGATTTTAAAAGAGAAAGTAAAAAAGAGTACAGAGTACAGAAATTTCAATTCCAAAGTTCAAATTTATATCAAAATTTTTCTTTTCAATTTTTTCTTTCGCAAATCGGAATGCATACAATATAGCGATCAAGGAAGTTTAGAAATCAAATCATTTTAAAACCATTTTAAAAATACAACAATTAGCACAATATTACTTACTTTTTTTAAAAATTTTGCTCTTTAATTTTTCATTCAAAATAATACATACAAAATATGTACATATATACATACATACGAAAATGCATGCATATGTAATTTGAGAAATAAATTAATTTGAGATCAAATAAAAAAAAATCCACCTCCTACATGAGGTTAAAAAATTATATTATAATAAGATTACCTTAATTAAAATAAATAGAAATTAAAGTTTATTGTGTAAGCACCTGCTGACACATTATTTATTATGCATTGCCGAATAAGTATGTATTTATGTACGTATGTGTAGAGACATTTAAATAATTTTTAATTTGAATTAAAATTTTTTTATATTGACATAACAATTACTGTTCGAATAGAAAAATTCGCACTTTGGCACATCATTCAATTCATTCTATTTTATTGTTATAATATATTGTAGAACAAAAATGAAATGAAATTAAAAGCGAAAATTTAGTAAAATTATATTTTTTTTTTCTTTTTGGTTACATAAATTTTATTTTATTTTTTTCTTGTATATTTTTCATTAGAAAAAACATTTTTCATCAATAGGCCAATGTATTTTTTAATGTGTGTTTTTTTTTTTTTATTATTTTAATTTTAAATATAAACAAATAAAAGGCAAATAGGTATATAAGCGAAAATATGTCATTTAAAAATAATTTTTTCATAAGATATTTTTCATATGTATTAATTTATGTATAAATGTATGTATATATATGTATATATATTACAAATTTATTCTGTTATATACGTAATATAATTTCCTTATTTTCTTTCTTTATTTACTACATACAATTTCAAAATATAAATTATGGTGTATATTTTATGTATTTAAAATTTACTATAAAAGTTTTCTCAACTAGTAGTAAAATTAAATTTTATAAAGTTAATATAAAAAATTTTTATATTAAAATGCGTAACACAAACTGTTATACATATATGTAGGTATGTACATATTATATTTTTATATACACAATTAGCTTATATATTTTACTTAATTTATAAAATATTTCTCTATTTCACAGAGTAAATTAAATTTTCTGTTCATTTAAATATTAACCGGAAAAATGTTCTTTTTTAAAAATTTTTTGTTTTGTGAATTACGTACATAGATTAAATTTTATTCTAAATAAGATTTTATGTATAAAAACTGGTATACGAAGTATATGTACATATATAAGTATTTTCAATATTTCTTTTTGTGCATGTTATATACAATATAAGAAACATATTCATACATACATATATGACAGAAATATACATACATATTTAGAATATTAATTTAATTAATTGTAACATGTGCGTTAGAAATCCACAAACTTGATATAAATATTGCTATATACATACATATACAAATATATGTACATATGTATGTATATAATATGTAAAGTTTCTTATACATACATAAATATTATATATTACATATATTTTTTACTATAGGTTGAAATTTGAACGTTTTTGTGTTTTAGATGAGATCAATGAATTTTCTAACATGAACTACCTAATATTTTTAATTAACACTTAAGTATTCTAGAAGAAAAATCAGGAATAAGTATACGCAAAATCATGATTGAACATGTTGTTTTCAGATTTTTTTTTTGTACAAAAATTGTTATAAAACAAAAAAAGAACAAAATGTGTTTAAAAACAGTTTTATTTTTAAAATAAATAAGATTTTTACGCAATAGCACAGAATACCTACGTTTAAGATATATATACAAATAGAGACATACACACATAAGTATAATTTCTTTTAGGTAAAATCAAGTTTTGAAAAATAAATAATGATTAAAAAAGTTTAAAGGTGAATTTAAAATTTTATAAAAATATTATAAGTAGTAGAAAGAGAAATTTTTAAATAAACACATTGTGTATATCCTATATAAGAGTATTAGCCTTTTTGATCCACAAAAATAACCTTTAAAAAGGAGAAAAGGAGAAGTGGACGTCATGATTATAAGATATGTGTCTGCATACATTTATTCATATATAACGCCACAATAATATACACATAAAATTTCTTTATTATATCGCCCATCCGACATCGATTGCAGCATTGAAAAACAATACTAAACATGTAATCGTCGGTATTACAGTCGAAATATTTTATTAAGTGGTGCAGTATTAGGTTCTCAATATTAAACAATAAGTATAAATGTTACAAATTTATTTCTTCGATCTTACTTTTTTCGAGATTTTTGAATTTCGTAGATGATTTCGTAAAATTCAATTCCAACTACAGTATAGTAATAGACGTGATAATTAATAAAATAGACAAAT